AACTGGATGTGTATCATGCAGCTTTGTAACATTTCAGCATTTTCCAAGTCCTGCATGAAAACCTCATAGGCCCAACTTTAAGCTCATAGTAGAACGTTTTGACCATTTTGATTTTTCAGTTCAAATACAGATGACTTTTTTTTCTATTAAAACCTTAATAGAAATGTGTAGTGTCTACACTGATCTCAGCAATTTTAAATACTATGCTTTGCTGATATGTGTAGCCATTACCTTCTTTTTAGCATCATCTCTGGAGAAAATGGAAACTACATGGACATGCATGCACTTAACTATGTATATGCAAGGGAAAGGAAGATCCCACTTAATAGTGTTTGAGCTCAGAGTTGAATTTTAACAGTTTGATGGAGGAGCAGAGGTCTCCAAAGGCTTAAATCCCTACAAGATTTAGGAAAATAAGCAATAGGAGGAGGGAGAGGAAGAGAAAGTGACCCTGAGATGGCATTAATGCTCCCAATGAGGAGGAGACTCTTTTTGTGCTCACCTTGTGTTAGACATCAGAGTCTGTGTTGGAAACCAAGTATGAGAAGAGAGATTTGTAGGAAACCAGGCTTCATTAATTCTGTTGCTCGTGGCATGGCTTGTTTGTTTTCTTCTTTTTCTTGTGATTGCCTGGCAACCAAGGGAAGGGAAAAAATAAAAGAAAATATTATTAGCCAGTTGGTATTCTGTCAGTGGAATGTTGAAAAGTTGCATGCACTGACTATCTGAAATGTGAGATTCCTATCATAATGATCTTTTTGTTCGGGAAGGGAATTGCTGGAATAAATAGCAGCAGGCAGAAAGTGTGCATACAGGGGAAGGCATCCTTTCCTGTCGTGCAGCAGGGCGTTATAAAGGTGACTGTTTTGCGGGCTGAAAAACTGTACTGAATACTAAGAGCTGGTAGAGGGGAACAGGTTCAGTTTTCAGTATTAGAACAAAAAGTGTTTTCAGGGAGAATTTGAATGGTGGTTCTGTAGTGGCTGGTGTGAACAACTCAGATAATGAAAACAAGTAATGCTGACCAAAAAAAAGTTTTTCAAATTAGTTTAGAAATAAGCAGTGATTTCACTGCTGTGCTCAGCAAGGGTGAGGCATGCTAGCACATGAAGATGTGTTTGTGAGTTTTCACAGTCATTTCATTCAGTTTCTTTTTTTTTCTTCTGATTCCTCAGCACTGTATTACCAGTCTGTGTTCTAGCCTTCAGAGTGGTTTTGTAGTTTATGTCCCATCTAGTCACCATTACAATTATTAATTTATGTTTGAAGACAGTTGGACGTTACCTGAAACGGTGCTCATACCAAATAGCAATATCATACCAAATTTCTTAATGAAAAGTAAAATTGTATATAAATATTGTTAGACTGTTGCCTGAGATTGCCAATTGAGCCTCAGGGAGTTAGCTGCCTGGGTTCCCAAGGGGCCTTGAAAAATTATTAGACTCTATTTTTAGTGGGAAGTTTATAGTTTAGGACTTTACTATTAAAGGGACATGGAAAGATAAAATTGACTTTATTGGAATCACGCAGTTGTGTATGTGTTAGATTGTGAGTCACAAAATTGCCTTCAGTTTCTTAATGCAAACTTAAGATTTTTTGATATGAAGGATAAAAAGTCCCAAAACCTATGCCACAGGAAGGATGAAAGAATTGAGAAGATCACTCATGTCCTAGATTCCCACACTGAGAGGAAACTTTTTAGTGGGAGTGCTCGTGGCATCCTAGGAAATGGCCTACATTCACTTCTATACCTTCCCTTTTGTAAAGAAAATGGAAAATAAAACCCCAAAGCTGCCAGTCTTGCACACTCTCTTAGATCTGTTCTGGAAAGAAAAAAGATCCTTTCCGTCCCAACTTTTGTCAGTCAGCATGACGGGAGCATATGAGTTAGACCCTCTCACTGCGGGCCTTGGGGGTTTTTCTGTACCACTGAAAGCACTCTCTTGTTACCTGTTATTAACAGTGTCCAAAGAATGTTTAAAAAAAATGAAAAGCAAACAAAAGAACTCTTTCCAAAAGCCAGATTACAAGCTGGCAAGGAAGTGGGGCTATGGCACTTCTCTGGGTATGTTTCAAAGGTGTTGAAGGTGCCTGAAGGCATTAGAGTGATAGAAGTAACCATGTAATGAATTCAGAGATGGTGGTCATACCTCTACTGCTTCCCTCTTGACAATAGGAACAAATCCAGAACCCAGAGCCTCATATCACGGTGTCAGATTTCCACTTCCCCCATCTTGCTGTCATAAAATCCCTGACCGGATTTTATGAATGTCTTTAATAAAATAGAATTAGGATTTAGCATCCCTGTTGGACTGCTTGGGAGATGGTCCTGTCGCTTCCTCCTTCCAGTACTCTCCTAAACAGTACCTTGTGCAAGCACCCAGACTTCGTTGCCACAGAAACCCACCTGGAACTCAAAAAATAGATCTGTTCCTGAGGATACTGCATTTTCCCCTACAAAATTTACTCTTACTGAGACTACGCTAAGAGAGAATAACAACATCATACGTTTTCGTCCTACAGATGGATGGAAAAGGTAAACAAGACGGTATCAGGGCAATAAGCAGAAAGATGAAGGAGAAGCTGTCACAAAGAGACAGACTACATAGCAGCAACAGCAGAGAAACAGTGCAGAGCATTTGGGAACAGGCACTCTAGTTCTTTCCTGAGCCAGGAAGAAAGGAATTGGATAGGAATTAGCCTCCCACCCCATACTGGTTTAGTGTGGGTTGGCAGTGGTTCTGGGAAGCTGTCTGCAGCAGACTGGACTCGATGCCTGAGGTGAAAAGGATCATGGCCCTTTCTGCTGTCTGGTTGTCCTCTGCAGAGTGATATCTGCCTTGCATCTGAACTTCTCTTTCAGCACAGCTCATCTCTCTCTTCTGATGTTTTCTTTGCATTTTGTTGTCTCATCTCCATTTTGGCTTAATTCCTCTTCATGGCTTTTCACTCTCGTATTTTTTATTATAGCTCTCTGCCTTGTGACCTGTTCTAGCCCCAGCTGTCCAGGTTCCTGCATATGCTGAATACTGTTCTTCTCTTACTGTACCCTAAGATACACAGGCTGATTTTAATTGCCAAATAGCAGCTGGACTTTTGTAGCTGATTTCTCCCCATCCCCTCACCAGAATTTTCCTCATGTGTTTAAAGTACCTTAGATACTTTGTTTCCAATTCTTCCTTTCACTTTTTAACTCTTACCTAGTAGCTGTGTTATTTCAGCTAGCTCTTTGGGAATGTAGGTCAGAATGATGCCTGTACAAAGTAGAATTGCACTGCATACTGTCATACTGGGTAGGCTGTGTGGTGGTGCCGCGCAGCAGATTGCTTCCTATTGCCAGTAAGACTCTTCATAGCTAGCACGTTTTGGTGACAATACCTCTCTATAAAGCTGAAGTAAACATTGTCAGCTACTAAAGTTTTGTTTGCTTATTGATTTTTATCCTCTGTATAAAGAAAATAGACTTCTAGTGCTGAAAAGAAATGCTGTGAGAGGCATTGTCTTGTTTGGGTGCTGCCTGATACTTTGACCTAAAAGCAGCAGAGCTCATGTGCAGGGTAAGTGGGGTTGGCTCTACAAGAGCAGTATCAGGAAAAGAACAAGAGATACCTAGGCAGCACGAGTTTACATTAAAGAGGACACACACAGTCTCCCCTTGATCTGAAGCAGGTATTAGCATTTTGCAGCAGTAAAACCATATATAACTTGCTGATTATGTGTGTTCAGAACAGGTTTGGGCTGAGAAGCCCCTTATAAACAATGCCTCAGAAGACCTGTATTGTAGGGTGCCCCTTCAATGTAATATATAAGGATTTACATTTAAAAACTGCTTGCCTTCATCTGAGCCTCTGAAATCAACATAGCAACAATTGACAGTACTTACTAAACAAGAAAACATGATATAATCTAATAGTAATGTGCATTTTGTTTTGTTTTTCTCAAATTTCAGTTGCTGCAAAAAGAATCTCTTTAAATAAAGGAATTTTTTAACCATTGTAACTTTACAGAGCAAGCTGAAATCATGAATTAAAAGTACAAAAATAAATTAAAACAACTATGAACATAGGTGTTTGAAAAACCACACTTAGTAGAAGAAACTTGATGTGAAGAAAAGTCTCTTGATGGTCTTGATAATCCATTAAGAGTAAAGATCACTTGGGGATGGCAATATTATAGCTTACTGGGAAAAGCTGCAGTGTATGAGCAATTTGAATGTACTGATTGTATTTCAGTTTGTTCATTATTATTGAAGTCTCAAATTTACTTGAATGTGGTACATGTTCTGATGTGGATACTCCTCTCTAGTTTCAATGACTTAGTTCAGCACTTTTTAAAGCATTAGCTGCAATCTCCATAGTTTTGTAATATTTAAAGTATTTCGATCAAGTTAGCATCTGGTGTGAGATTGGTGCTTCCGTTCAGCCATGCTTCTGCATTAAATGATTTGAAATTTTGTTGCTTACGTAAGTGAACTGCCACGGACTGCAATTGTTTCCAAGCAATTAGTTCTTCATTACAAATTAATGAAGTGATAATTACATGTTTCAACTTCTAGGTGAAGAGTGTAGTAGTGGTGCTACCTTTAACATGCAGTTTGTACATCTACATTGTACTGGCTGTGCAGTCGTGTTGGGTAAGCACCTTCTGAAAAAAAATGCGCAGAGAGACTTGTTCAGAAAAAGAACATCTGTTGTGGGGATGTTTCAGCTTCTGCATGTTCCTTCTTTTGTTTCTGTCTCCCACTTGTTTCTGTCTCTCACTGGACATGTAAAATATGGTGAACAGATTAGAAATTATATGGAAGAGATAATAAGTAGTTCATATGAATTGGTGTGAACGGCTTTAAATGTCCATAAAATTGTTTCATTATATAGTCTTATCTAGTTTCATCCAGTTGTTGTAACTGAATTTTTATTTGTCCAGGTAAGCCCTGTAGTTAAATAGGTACATCCAGCTTCATGGGACGTAGTTATGGCATCTGAATGGCTTTTTGCAACGAGATGAGGTTATTTGCTCAGGCTGTACTTGTACAAGGACACCTGTCAGAGGAAAGTCCTCCGCTCAATTTTGGGAACTTGACAGAGCCTTGGAGCCAGGGTTCAGCTGGTTCGTGTCAAGTCAGGAGCTCGTCCTTGTATGATGGGCTGCCATGTTGCACCTGGCTCTCAGTGGCCGTGAGCGCTAGTGAGAAACTTTGACTCAGAGTCCCTGTACTGCTAGTTCCCCCTGCACTGTAGTGTATTACGACTTGCTGCAGCCATTTCAGCTGCTGAACACACATCCAAGATTGCTTCTAACTGTTGAACTAGTGAGAAAGAGATAAATCTTGTGTATAGTCAGATCTGTAAAGTGAACCAAAATAAACTTTGTTTCAATTAAAGGAAGAGTATGTATACTGCTTTTATCTAGTGGTTTAATAGCAGGATTTGAAATCACATCTTCAGCGGTGTGTGGATAATTTCATTGTGCAGACCAGCTCGTAGTCATAGCAAAACTTCCTTCAGTCAGTGGGTTGGGACTGAGTACTCTCAGATGTGGTCACTTTTTTCTTCTCTTCTTTCTTTCTTTGTATCTGTGTGTGCGATGCATGTCTTTAAACCCATGAAATTGTAAAGACAGTTAACACTTCTGCACCTCAGTTTCTTTGTCGGTGTAGTGGGAACAGTGCTTTCCTCTCCTGATGTTTGCTGTGCAGCACGCTACGATCCTTCAGCAAAAGATGCTTCTGTAAAATGAACAATTGTTAGACTGAAATCTTAAATACAGCATGGATGCGACTTGATTTTTGAGGGAAGATGCTTGCCAGGTGGAAGTTCTTCTTCTTCTCCCTAGAGCTGCAAGTGACTTCTCTCCAAGAGCGGCAGTGATTTCTCATGACATACTTATTTCTGTCTTCGTTGCAGTTCCAGTTTTTGTACTGTGCAGCAGATTTTTGAAGCTTGGCTGCTCCCCCCTGCACTGCCTGTGGCTGTATGGGGCAGCATTTGGGGCTTTTGCAGAGGCTCTGTGTGTGTGGGTGACAGCAAAGCAAGGATTTCTGTAGCTGCTGCGCACGCTGTTAGTACGCTCTTCAGTGTCACGAGTTTACCTCTCGTGTAAATACTTTGAAGCAGGGAACAGAAGATGATAAGCTTCAAGAGGATCTTACCAGTGTGTATGAATGCCTGATGGCAGGGTGTAGAGAATATGGAGCCAGACTCTTCTCTGTGGTGCCCAGTGAAAGGACAAGAGGCTATAAATACAATCCCAAGTACAGGAAACTCCATTTAAACATAAGGGCCAACCTTTTTATTATGAGTACAATCAAACACTGTCACAGGCTGCCCAGAGAGGCTGTGGAGTCTCCATCCTTGGCGGTACTCGAAAGCCTGACTGGACAGGATCCTAAGCAACCTGCTCTGGCTGACCGTGCATGAGGAGGGGCTTGGGTTAGAATATCAGGAAGGGTTTCTTTCCACTTCAGTGGCATTGTGATTCTATAAGAGGTATTATTCGTTGTCAGGAGTTGTCATTCTAGTGCTTTAGTGGTGACGCTCTTAATTTTATATTTTAAGACTCAGAATATAGAACAGCTGCAGTTTTTGTGTGGATAGGAGCTGAAGAATGATGACCTTAAACCAAAAAATTCTGTCTTAGTCATCCATTCAGAGATGCAAAGAAAGATGCATCTTAAGTCACTTGATTGTGTATGGTAAATGACTAACAGTCAATATTTACTTGATCTCCCCCTGTAAGACTTCTTTTTACTTGTGATTAGTAAATATTCCTCTCCGCTAAGTGTGACTTCAGAAATCAGGTAGGACTGGTACATGAGTAATTCACAAATAGGAAACCCATTCCTTCCCTGTTTACGTCAAGAATGTTTGCCAGCTCAGGACCGATGCAAAAACAAATGATGGCTTTGTATTCTTCAAAAAACATTTTAGCATCTATTAAGTAACTAAGATGCTTACGGTAAGCTGATGGTAATTTTTAATAGCACTAGAAACTGGGCAAAGGTTGACTGTTTATCCAGAGGACACATATGCCAAGCAAAATCAACTGTCGTGCTTTTGAATAAATGTAAAGCATAATATTTTATTATGACTACCTGCAATTTCAATAGGAGATATTGGCTTTTGTTTGGTAAGATTTTAAATCATATTACATCTTTGAAATACAGCTTGATTCTAACAGTGAAAATGTGGTGCTGTCCTAGTGAACATCCCGTGTTTGAGGTGAGCGTGGTTGCAGTAAAGACTTGTTGGGACCTCGATCAAAAGGACAGCAATGCAAGTATTTTAAAAAAATCACAAGGTTTTTAATAATACAAAACAGCTGTAGCATCTCTTTCATGCCAACTTGAAATAACGTGGTAAAAACTGACTTCGTAATGGTCAATTCTATCTTAAGGTATTTGTATGTTCTAGTAGGAAAAAAGTAAGTGAAAGTTTGACCATACTTTAACTGCCTATTTTATGGTGATGTCCCAGCGAAGTGATTTTTACTTTTTCACAGCTTTTGTTTCTAAATGCCATTTTTACTGGTACAATCATTAATCTTAAAACATTCTCTCTTTTCTTTTCCTTTTTTTTTTCTCCAGTGGGAAGAGATTAGTGGTGTTGATGAACATTATACTCCAATCAGAACTTACCAAGTGTGCAATGTTATGGATCACAGCCAAAACAATTGGCTGCGAACAAACTGGATTCCACGCAATTCAGCTCAGAAGATATATGTGGAGCTCAAGTTTACCTTGAGGGACTGTAATAGTATCCCTCTAGTTCTGGGCACTTGCAAAGAGACCTTCAATCTGTATTATATGGAGTCTGATGATGACCATTTGGTAAAGTTCAGAGAGCATCAGTTTACAAAGATCGACACCATTGCAGCTGATGAGAGCTTCACCCAAATGGATCTTGGGGACCGAATTCTCAAGCTGAATACGGAAGTCCGCGAGGTGGGGCCTGTCAGTAGAAAAGGCTTTTACTTGGCTTTTCAAGATGTAGGTGCGTGTGTTGCCTTAGTCTCAGTGCGAGTGTACTTCAAAAAGTGCCCTTTCACTGTCAAGAACCTCGCCATGTTTCCAGATACAGTACCCATGGACTCCCAGTCACTGGTGGAGGTGCGGGGTTCTTGTGTCAATCATTCCAAGGAGGAAGAGCCACCTAAGATGTATTGCAGTACAGAAGGAGAATGGCTAGTACCCATAGGGAAGTGCTTGTGTAATGCTGGCTATGAAGAAAGAGGCTTTGCGTGCCAAGGTAACGATGCCCTCCATGTTCATAGTTCAATTATTAACAGGGGCTTCGCTTTATGTCCTTACTCTGTGTATTGGGTCATGTCAATTATCTACAAGTTCTTGAGAGAAATAAATTAGTTCATAAAATCACCATGAAAATGGGGATTATTTAATCCGTGTAAATGATGTAATTTTCTAAAAATATTTGATAAGGGTCAACAATTGATTTTTAGTTAATACAATGTGTAGCAAATCTAGCCTCTCTTACCACTCTTGGACTTCATTTCAGTGGATTATAGTTTTCTCAAATGTATTTATGTCAATATGTTTTATATTTATGTGATTCTTTTTCTTTTTTTTTAACTTCGTGGCTTGATGTATTAACTTTTGCTATTGGGCTGTTTTAATTAATTGGTATTGGTCAGAAAAAAACCCAAAAAACAGGTAGCATTGTTTCGGGTATCATAGTTCCTAAATGCAGATACGTTTGGAAAATTAGTATTTGAACTTCAAAATTGCATTTTCATGAATAATCATGTATTTAACTCAAAATAATTTTCCCCAGACTTTTGGTTTCTGAAAACTGTGGTTATGTGAATGCTCCCAAGAACAAGACTACACCAGGGATTTTGAGTTTTTCCCAAAATGGTCTTTTAGAGAAATGCATATTATATTTACCTAATTTTCATGTTGACCAGAATGATGGGGGTCTACATCTTGCTTTTTATAAAAGTACATTTTGAAGTTTTGTGCTGATTGAGACTTAAACTGCTTTTCACAGAATGCCTTAAAGGGTGCTGGCTGTGGCAAAGGTCTTCCATTAAATAATTAAATAGAAGTTAAACAATAGTATCTGGAAATACCGTGGGTGGAAGGAGTAGTAGCTGAGGTATTTACTGTGGGGAGTGTGTGTGTACGTTTGTATACAGAAATACAAATATCTAAAATATCTGAACCTGGGTGAGTGAGCACCTATGCCTTTTTCATTGGTTCTACATCTTCGTGGCAAACAAGTGAGTCCTGGGGAGCTACAGGGAGCCCACCAACCCGTATCCAGGTAGTTGTGAGGACTCTCATTCTAATTAAGGTGGCTTTTTCTCAGCAAATTCCAGGGAAGTGTGGGAGGAGAGGGGTAAGAGTGTGTTTTGCTTGGTTTTTCTTTTAAGTAAAATTTAAATTGGTTTTGCCCTCAAAATGAATAAACTGGGGAGCTGAGTCTTTTGAGTATGCCCTTCTGCAGTTAGATACCAATATTAAGAAAAAAGAATTTAAACTCTTCTGTTAAGAGCTGAATCCAGGAGAGGATATTTTATTACTCAGAAATGCTTTATGTAGAGCCCTGTATAGCTACACTCAAAAATGGTAGAATGGTAGTAATAACCTCTTTAACAATTGTATATAGTCTTGCTTACTGCAGAGCCTGTGTCGTGGTAAATGGTTGAAAGCTGTTGGTGTAGAATTTGTTACACATGTGCACACCAAGATAGTCACTCTAGAAAAAGTCAGACTACAACTGAGCGAAAGTTGACCTAAATAAAGTAAAATAAAATAGTTTTATTCAAATCAGGTTCTCAGATGCTTTGGTTAGGCAAGGCAGCTCCTACTGAGTTCTGCGGAGGTTAGGAGGGAGTTCACATCTGTGTGTGTATATCACATGTGATTTGGAAGGCACAAAATCAGACCATAGGACTGCTATCTTTTCCTCTCTGCCCCCCCTTCCCCCTTTTTCAATAATTGTTTTTCTTCCTCACCAGCTGTTGATCAAGCGAGTGTTATATGATGAAACCATTAACAATAGCAACAGGTTCTTCTGGCTTATTCTGATTTAACATAATGTTCTTCTAAATTCTATTGGAAGTAATATTTATCAAATATTTTCAGTGTGATGTGATTGAAGTGGCACTCTAAAAGCAGTCAGTAATTCAAAACCTCCCATTTGTTGGCGTCAGTAACTCAGCAGGAGTTGGACAGCTCAGAAAGAGTTCAGTTTTGACCTCAGGCTCAAGGCTGCTCCTGTACCTTTCCTCCTCTTCTTCTCTTGCCCTTTTTTTAGGGTGTTGGGGTTTAAGGGTCTTTTTTTGTCTGAGCTGGTGGGGTTGTTTTTGTTAACAAAAGGGCAGTAAAATCAGGACTGTAGAGTCTGAAGAAGATCCAGAACGGTGTTACAGGCATGGGTTGGAAGGAAGGGGATAATTTATGGGGAAAGGGGGGAGGGAAGTTTCAGTTGAAGTTTGAAGGAGTAATAAGTAATATAAATTATTTTCTTCCCTGTAGTTGAAAAAATTCAACAACTTAGTGTCTGTTGGACAACTGGATCCTATTTTTAGGCTGTTTCTCGTTTTGTTTGTTTCCGTAATGCTGTTTTTGGAAACAATGTCATTTTGTATTAGCAGGAGATTGTCAGTGATGATTAAAGACCCTAACTGTATATGATCAGCCTGTTTACATTTCATTCCGAACACCTTTTCTTGGTACTTTGAAAAAAATATTAAGGCATAGTCATGTCCCCAAATAGCAGCAATTGTATCCTTTTCCACAACTGCTTCCCTTTCTCTGCAATAACCAGGAAAAGTCGACATAAAGCTCAAAAGCCAGGAAAAGCCAGAACCAGACTATTTGCTTTACTCAGCTTACTGGTTCTTGTTGGAAAGACTATTGTTCTGTTCTGGGACCTACCAACTGATAAGCATTTTACACATACAGCAGTACAATACCTACCAGTCCATCAGGAACAATTTTGCTGTGACCATTCTTGTCCCCACTCTGTGTGTGTGTGTGTGTGTAGAAATTTCTCAGAGGCTGATTGTATACCTCACTTCTAGGAGTTCTAGTCCTTATGGTATACTGTAGGTTAACAGTATAAGATTTAACTCCTCTAGCAAAGACCTGCTCAGTATTTTGAAGGGATTAGGTTTGTAAAAGTAAGGCAAGATGTGTCGGGGAGCATGTTGGAAAAGCCATGCTTTCACACATTCCCCCCCGCCCATTAGCCAATGTGTATGTTAGTTAACTGTATATGTGATATTTCATCCCCTGTACACTGATTTTTATTATAGGTTTGTAAGTACTTGCATCATAGTGAGCCTGTCCATCTAATCTTCTTGTAATATTTCTGGTTGAATAGGACTTCCTCCTCACAATGTCCTTGCAAAATTATGTCTTCCTGCCATTTTGGCCAAACTATATCTTTATAGCATCATCTCTTTTAGAATTACTGTGTTTTTAATTTGTTTTAATAAGGAAAAAAAACTCAAAGGCGAACTGTCCACTAAACCCAATGCTTTTTGATAGTCTCTATCCTGTTCACCAGTCAACAAGGAAAACTCATGTTTTCCGTTAGTTCCCCATCAAACAGCCACACCAGATCAGATCAGAGGTTTATCCGCCCTAATATTTTTTCTCTGACAGTGGCTAATGGCAGATTCTTAAGGAAAAGTCTAAGAAACAGTATAAAGCGCTGCCTTACTGGGTGTACCTTTCAGCTTCTGTGAGACAGCTGTTGACTTTCTAAGACTTAAGATAATATCTTGTAAGAAAGACAGGAATCGATGACCTGTCACCTGTGAATTTGTCCATTTCTTGACTCACTTTTATTTGCAGACTCTCAAGTTTTTATGGCAATGTCATATCTTGCCATGTGTGGAAAAGATGTCTTCTTGCTGTGCTTAAGATCTACTCTAGGTGATCCTGCTCTGGCAGGGGGGTTGGACTAGATGATCTCCAGAGGTCCCTTCCAACCCCTACCACTGAGTGAATCTGTAAAGCCTTCTGTTTTACATCAGTTGGGTAAGGTTTTCCATGTCCTTGTATAGTGAGAAAAATAATATCTACTTCCTTTTCAGCTTCTCTATTAACGATTTTCAAGGTCTCTTTCATGTCTAATATCTCTAATTCCTGTTTTCCCAACTCTCTCTGTCTGCTAGTGCCTTCTTATTTGGAGGACAGGCTAATTGCCCCATACCTCTACTCATCTTGGTCTCTGTACATATTCACGGTAAACAATGGGATTCTTATGAAAAGGGCAATGAGGCTTGCACACGCTATTTAAGTTGCTGCAAGTACACTGTGAGATTATACAGCAATGTAGTGCTTGGAACAGCCCAAAGACCAATAAAAGGAGCATTCACATCACCTGCCCAGTGAGGGACTTGTATGTGGAGACATTAGGCTCAGTTTTGTTTTGAATGCTGTAGAGAAGAAACAGATATCACGATGTGAAGGTTGGTTAGTTGGTGTAATAGTATCAAAATAAATGGGAAAATGTAGGATAAATGTTAGAAGAGGAAAAAAAAAATCTTCAGTTCTGTAATGATCTGGAAGTCTCCTCAGAGAAATAACGGAAGCTTCTTTCAGGAGATGGGTTTTTTTAAAAAATGAAGTAACCAGATGATCAAGGAAATCCTGCACTGGCAGGCCTGGACTAATAAATCTCTTTCATGCTGAATGTGTCTATTCTGTTGGTTTATTTCACGCACTTCAGAAAGACTCGCTGGACGTGGAGAATGATATTTTTCATGATGATATACTTAATTGGCAAACATGCAGTGAGCAATTGTTTATCCATGTGGGAGTATGCGTGAGCTTGAGTGTTCTTTTGAATGCTTCCAACAGGTGACCTTTTAGACCAAAACCAAGCTTTGTGCCTCCAGTTATTAAACAGAAAATTAAATTGGTGGGCCTGAACAGAATGACTCAAAAAGCACAGAATTATATTTTCTGCATGCTATCATTTCAAGGTATAGTTCTAAATTTTAGTTGCTGGAATTGAGTAAGTCTGAATTGTAAATTTCCTATAGTATGCAATAAAATTGTAAGTTTTAATCACAAGCAACTGACACATTTTCGATAACAAAGCCGGAAGAAAAAAAGAAGAATGGACTTTGACAGTTCTTCCTTACGTATATAATTTTCAGCAGTTAGTCAGGTGGATTGAATGGGGGAAAAGGGAGTAAGTGGTAAAGGAAGGGGAGATGAAGTTCACCCACTGTGCCTGGTTATTACAAAAATGACTTCACAAAATTT